CTACCTTCTTGTTGTTGTTGTTGTTGGTGTTGGTGCTGTTGTCGTTGTCGTTTGTTGTTTGTTGTTTGTTGTTGTTGTTGTCATTGTCGTTTGTTGTTTGTTGTTTGTTGTTGTTGTTGCTGTTGCTGTTGCTGTTGCTGTTGCTGCTGTTGTTGTTGTTGTTCTGGTTCTGGTTCTGGTTCTGGTTCTGGTTGTTGTGGTTGTGGTTGTGGTTGTTGCTGTTGTTGCTGTTGTTGTTGTTGTTGCTGTTGTGGTTGTTGCTGTTGTGGTTGTTGCTGTTGTGGTTGTTGTTGTTGTTGCTGCTGCTGCTACTGCTGTGGTTGTGGGTATGGTGACAGCTTTGTGTGATTATCGGTGTTTCGACGGTGCTGGTATCGTTGGCATTTCCAGGGGCAAGCAGGGGACCTATAGACAGGAGATGCGCAAGTCGGTCACACCTTACTGCACGGTTTCGCCGGCTAAAGCTTGGGGATTGAGATCCTGACGCCCTTGCCTTTGCAAGCAAGACTCCACCTACCACATAGTAGTAGATCTTGTTTGGCAGCAGGTCTGTCATCGTCGCAATGTGCATGGTGAAGTTCCGGTGCTCATCGCCGAAGTCCTTCATGACACACCATGGGGCAATGGCAGTCTGAATCTCTTGCACAAGAGCTTAGCTTGAAGCCCTCCGAAGCCAAAGCTGAATACATCGGCGTAAGTCGAAAGGTTCCTCCCTATGCGGTCCTGGAAGAGGAATGAAGTGCCATTCGACGTCCTGTGTCCAGACCGGGGCAGAACCCTTTTGGACCACGTCTGTCACTAAAGCGTTGCTTGCTCACAAAGGGACAAGAACTACCATCTGGCTCTCACTGTGTATACGGTGACATCGCTCTTCAAGGAATGTCGCGGCCGTTGCGATGGCCATCGAACCACCCCCCCCCTTCTCATTGAAGCATCTTCGTGGCATTACCTAGCGATATTCAACCGCCGGGCTTCGCTTAGTTGTCCTCGTGAGCGCATCTTTGGAGAGGCCGTACATCACGAAAGAATCACCAGGATCATACGCAGTCTGATTTCGCAAGTAGCTCTCCTGACCAAGGGAACTGGAATATATGGCCCGTGCCTAAAGCTGACGGGGAAGCTGTTTACTGACATCGGCATTGATTAGGCGTATGTTTTGGATTCGGTTGCACAACCTTTCCGGGCTCTCAAGGGTTCGCTTAGGGCGCAGAGGTCCTGGATGGTGGACCAATGCACGGTCATCTCACCTGGCAACAAACGATCTCTTGCGGCGTGCTATGCAAGTTTACAACGGCCTGGGTGAGACGCAGTTGCTGCAGAGTTTCAGATCGTTTCACCCAGGAGCATGCAGCCCTGTAATACAGTATTTGGCAGCAGTCACTCACCATAAGGTGCAGGAATTGCCCAACTGCTGCACGATGCTCATTCCTGTTGCTCTGCGGAGGTATCGTTGACCACACGAACAGCACGGTAGACCATGTCGAAATGCGGAATGCCAAGATGGGACATGCACACAGCCAGTCACAACAAGTGGTGGGGTTAAGTCGCATCAGGGTGCGTTTGGTCACAGCATTTTTTTTGTCACGCACCGATCCGCGTTTAGTCGCATCACGTGCGTTTAGTCACATCAGAAATATCGAAACCCCTTGGGCACGTGGTCCGGATGTGGGTTTCAACACATGTAACGAAAGGCCACGTTCCGTAGGTGCGCGTGCCTACTTTGCAGTCACATCACCTCGTTTCATCACATCAGAAATACTGAACTACAGAAAAGTGGCGACTGACAGAACAGACTACAACATGCAGTCACATGCGTCAAGGGAATAAGACCAGGACGTGCCAGTATGAAGCGACGCAAGTGCACCGTGAAGCAATTACTATGGTCGCACAGAAAATTATCGCATTGTACCAAGCCTATCACACGATCCTGAGGCACAGGTTGCGGACTCATGTGTAGGAGTGGCTCGCCTGGCTTCCCCCCGAGGCCGATGTGGATCTGCTCTGGCTGCTGGTAGGGTGTGTCCGCCCAGGCGGGGAAAAGCAAGCTGGCCAGCAGGCCTCGCAACAAAGAAAAGCGACCGTGTGATTTTTAATACCAAGGCCTAATAATAGAATCCGAAACCCCGTGGAATAATGTCCTATTGAGTCAAGCCGGGATGCTGGTCTAAGCTTGCCACCGAAATGCCAGGATGTTGAGAAGGAACGCTCCAACGAAATTCAGAAAGCATGACCCCCCACACACACACACACACACACACACCCAAACCCAACAACATCTTGAGACAAGAACGGTACGAGAACCAAGAGAATGAAAGTTGTCACTTTTGTCCCACCTCAGAACCTTGAAGCACGCAACTATGCACAGTCATGTATATTATATTATATTATACTATATTATATTGTATTATACTATACTATACAAAACTATACTATACTAATGATGCCGGCCCAAGGCCCCTTGTCTCAGCAACCCTAGGACCTGACTTCGTTGGGCCCCGTAGCCGACACTGCCGGACTATGATCCACTGCATTACGTGATACATGCGCTCTTACAGGGAGTTAGGCCGGTAAGCCTGCACACTCCTAAAGGGAGTTACACTCCGCGAATATCGTTTTACATGAGCTTTGACTTATACTAACTAGACAAGTATCGGCTTGTTTGCTTACCACATCGTGGTAGTATAATGCTTTACTGTTTCCGTAATTACAGCATGCTACCATGGTTGCACTCCGCTCGACGTGGCCCTCGTCTGGCCTAGGCGAACCATAGCACCGGCCATGGGTCGGAGCCCCTCTGCCCTTGCAATAAGAGATAAAAGCCCCTGTGGGCCAAAAGCAGCAGATTGGACGACGGATCTTCACAGTCCGACCAATGACCTGAAACACCAAGCCCAGCAGGACGTGGCACTGCTTTGTCCATTAGCCAGAAGAAGTGAGGGGGAGGGAAGCTGAAGTCTTCGATGTTGGGTGTGCTTCATGGTCACTCCGACTACAGGAAGTTGTCTTCAAAATGATCACTCGAGAAGCAGCTGGCCGTGACTTGCGCTCCTTCTCAAGATGCTGTCTCGCAACGTCGCATTCCATATACGAAGTGCCACTACACATCGCGACTACTTATGCGGCTTTTGGTCACCTTGTGGAAGTTGCGTAGCCAACCGGTGCCCGGAGTCCAGCATTGATGCGTTTAATCCGAATCGCCACGTCCCCGAAAACTAAAGGCGAGTAACAATTCCACTTTCACCATTTTACTCGCGCTGTCGGCTTGGCTTCTGTCCCAGCCTGACCGCTGAAGCTCTTGCATGCTGTAATCCTCGTCCTTCGGGGCTTTGTCTCGGAAACTTTGCAGTGTGCTGCGTTTCCCTCACGGCGTCGAAGATTTCAGAATGTCAGAAGGCTGCTTCAAGCGAATTTGACCGTGCATGTCCAACTGTTCGATTTAAAGCGGCCCGGAGGCGAAAATCAATAAAAGTCAGTCCCGCATAGCTCAAGCCAGGCGCTTCTGAACAAAGTAAAGACCATCGAAGGTTCGGTGGATCCGTAGATCTTCATCCACATAGAGCCTTGACTGCACATGAGACCCGATGAGCCTCTACAAATGTGCCGATGGTGACAACAAGCGGCCCTTTTACCTAAACCCAATGCACTACAGCCGTCGCGACCCGTATTAACACCAATGCAGAATAACAACTCTCCTATAAAGGCTTCGAGTGTTCTCACCGCAGCGAAAACATCTGAAGATATCAAACCTTATATATATATAGAGATATATATAGAGTCCCAATATTATCTATTTTCCACACTAGAGGTAGGGGCAGGAATAGTGTGCGGTGTTCAAGTTCCGAGGTTGCGTCATGTGCAGGCCGGAACAGGGAGGCCACGACATGACGAGCCAATATGTACGCTTTCAACATGTTGTACCGCACATGCGCCGCAACGATTGAATCCTCATGCTAAACTTGAAGATTATAATTATGGCCTATATGACTCTCTCTCTCTCTCTCCCTCTCCCTCTCTCTAAAAATATATATGTGTATGTATATATATATCTATACATATGCACACACAAAAAACACTTTTAGATCCCAGCGAGGAGCAGCTTGAATCCTGCCCCGCGATCGCTTGGATTCACCTCGCCACCCTTGCGCCGGGCAAAGAGCCGACCTACTTTCCGAAGAAAGCCCGGGCCTGGCGAGGGATTTAGGGGTTTAGGTTCGTTGGTTGGTTTAGGGCGTTTAGGGTTTTAGGGTTTTACGCTCTCGCAACTCGGACAAGCCAGGTGAGGTTCATGGGGATTTAGGGCTTAGAGTTTCGGGATTTTTAGGGGTTGCGGGTTTAGGGTTTAGGGATTCTCCTAAAAACAGAGATTGTGATCGTCAAAATAAAGCTCAGAGATGTTTAGGGCAGGGGATCAGCGGAGTTTAGGTTCTTGCAGTGCCTGATAATCACCACATACAAGCCTGACTCTAGTCGTACTGGCATATCTGGCATTTCATGGGGAGGAAAGCCTGTGAAGTCGCTTGCAGCGCGTATTGTTGTAACACTTCGAACGTGCAAAGATCGGTGCATCTTTGCATGGTTAACAAGATGTACAAACAAGCAAAGCATAAACATGCTCGAGTGTTACAGCGAATAGACCGCGCTGCAGCTGTGCACCTGCAGCATTATACATCATATACATCCAAAACACAACATAACCCTTAGAACGTCAAACCGTTAGGACGTAGAAGACTGTAAAGCTGTGGAGGTGGCATGTTCCCGGCCTGGAAGGGGGATGGTGATCTCAGGAAAGAAGCGTGAACGCCTTAAGAGCCGGACCTTCCTGAAGATCAGCTCCACTTCGGAGTCATTCAAGGCCTTGCCCTCCACGAAGACGCGGAAGCCTTGGAGCTTGCTATCGGGGTTGGAGAAGTCGACGCAGTTGATGAACCAACCCTCCTTGGCATCGATTTCCTGGAAGGTCTTGGCTGACCCGCGCTTGCTCTTCTTGAACGTCGCGTCTGCGGCATCTGTAAAGATCAACTTCCAGGTCCCGTTCAGGATGCAATTCTTCGGATCCTCGCCGCCATAGCCCCTCCAGCCTTTCAAAGGGGCGCTGGTGGGATTCCTGAGCGGCGACACGATGCAGGCATAAGCTCCACAAATCAACAGCAGCAGACACTCCCGTGAACCGCAGGAGCCACATCCGCCCGTCAGCCGCAGCATCTAAGCTTAGGGTTCAGGGCTTCGGAGGCGTTTCGGTGGGATCCTTTTGAGGGTTCCTTGAAAGGTTCCTTTGAGGGACCCCCCCCCAAAAAAAAGAGTAGCCGAGCTTCTTGGCGGCTACGCGCTCGATGGCCTCGATCGTGCTATTCCGTAAGGCATCAAGCTCATCGCCAAGCTGAACCCGCTGCGCTGCGAAGCTCTCGGCCTCCATGGGTCGTGCAACTATAGGGCTTAGGGTTTAAGGGTTTAGGGTTTCGACTCTCACACTCGCACAAGCAGGCAAGGCTCCTCAGGGTTTAGGGTTTAGGGGTTTAGGCTTTAGGCTTTTTAGGGTTGGCGAGCATGTGGGCACTGGAGATCAACAGGCTGAAAGAGCCTGCCCTGTCACACCCAAAATCGTAAGACTCATATAAAGGAGCCTAACAATGACCCAAAGTTTCTTAATCAGGTTCTCAAAATGTGATTTACCTTCCGAAACATTGGGGGAACTCGCCTGCAGAAGGGATGCTTTGGACTTCTCTTTGCGTTTGCCAGACTTCTTCTCGGACTTCTCCTGCTCGTCCATCATCTCCCACATCTCCTCACCGAGGGGACGCCGCGGGCATCTGAAGATTTTTCGGGGTAGTGGGTATATCGGTATGGGAAACTGCACAACCCCCAATACCTACCCAGGGCCTTATTCTGCAAGCTGCGAAGCTCCGTCCTCCTGTTTGCTTCGAAACTCCTCACAGAGGCTCTGTAGCTCCTCCTTATAGGTGACATCTGCACTCGCTGTGGCGCCTGCGGTTGCTCGAAGGCCCGTCCGGCCCACGAAACTCACAGGCCAAGCACACCTGGACGGCTCTTGGACTCCAAGTTGCCCCATAAGCCCCTCTCTTGAGGGTATCCTAACCAGTATGTCTTGACTGCAAAGAATCAAAAGCCACCGCTCCATGACATCCTACGAGCCCTTTGGCTCCGCTGACTGCGACCCAGGCACTGGGCTAGCAGCAGCAGGGCTACTCCACCGCTGCACCGGCTACGGCGCGAGGTTCCGTGGGCGCGCACCATGACGGCACGGAGATCGGGCGAGCAGGCTTCCGCACGTGGAGGGTTTTGTCAAGGCCCAGGCTTCCGAAGCTTACTGAAACCTGCAGGCTCTAGAACCGTGAGATCGGAATCCAAACACTCACATGCGAGAGAGCCAGGTGCATCGACCAGGCAAGTGGATCAAACGGCCTGAGGCCGATCCCTCCCGAGTTTTCGGACAATTTGGCCACTCGTCACTACTGTAAGATGTGGGGCTTCCTACACCCGTCTCGCAAGTAGTCATGGGCATCTTTTCAGAGACCAGCTTCTGGGTAGATCAGCCTGCGTCAGCCAGCTGTAGGGATGTCGTGGTAGTTGTGGAAGATCCTTGGCGTCAGATCCACACACTTCAATTCCTGAAGCTTGCTACAAGGTTCGACCGCTGACTCGCTACAAACCCAAAGCTTTCCACACGGATTCATCCAATAATCGGCAGTGTCATGGCCCCCTAAACCCTAAACCCTTTTTTTGAGCAGGGACTGCAAGGCACTAAGCCCTGAATCCCTTCAGCCAAGCTCCTAAAACCCTAAACCCTCCCAAATCCGAGCCCGGAGCCGAAACCTCTCAGGCCAGACACCGCTCTCCCAGGCCACGGCCGCTGGCTTCCTTGATTTTGGCCTGGGGGTGGGCAGCGCATGGACTACGGTTTGGAGTGCTGTCCAGCGCCGAGTCGAGCCCTACAGGGGCCCAGAATGATTACAGGTAAACTGCCATTTCTTATAATCTACTATATTTTGTTGATTACAGATTTGGGAACCACCCAACAGTAGCGCAAGTGTGCCCAACAAGCAGGCTGAAGTCGTCCTGAGCACTCTTTCGTGATTTTCAAGTCAGTTTGGGTGTTGGGAAGCATGACTGCTTTTCGCAGTTGTACTGTGACAAGTCAGTCAGGGACTTTATATCAGGATTTCGGGTAAACTGTTAGCTTTTAGCAAAAATCCTAACACTTCTTTAGCGGCTTTTATCAGTCCGGGGTCTGCAGCATTTATTTAAATAGCTCTGAAGGCGTCGCGACATCAACAACATTTGTTCCGGTTTGCGCTGTCTCCGAGTCGACTCGCTGGGCAAAAGCCAGCAGATCAAAATACAAGAAGCCTGCTCGGCTGCAGCTTTCTTTGGGAACCTAATTATTGGGCTTCAAGTGTCACTGTTAATGCGACCGATGCTGCATTGCCATTATGCGGACCTTGCAGGTGTAGGTGCAACCCTACCTCAGGCCCAGCTTCCCGGTTGACATGGCCTCAAACTGTTGGTAGCTTTCGGTCGCAATGATGTCCTCCTCCCCCACCTGCGAAACGAGCTCGAAGTCGCGAAGCTGCATCCCGAGCTACTTGTAGTGATTCCCGAGCTACTTCTAGTGATCAGACACATCTCGCCCGTGCAGCACAAGCTTGTGGCTGTCGGTCCTGCTTCTTGCAAACCAAACTAACCTCAAACACCGAAAGTTCCAGTTGTGGCAGCAGCTAAGCACTGGAGAAGTAAGTCGAATAATATGACCCAACATACAACTTAAACGTAACAGAAGTATAGCTACAAAGGAAAATGTAGCCGCAATAAATCTAATCCGACTAAAGATAGTGTGACCAAGAGTTTCGACTCGAAGCTGGGCAGTGGATGATGGATGGTCAAAGGCATGCTTCCCGTGACCTTGCTTCTCTCAAGGCTGCCCGCTCTTTTCGGGTAGTTTTGCCTCGGGCCGTCCTGAAACAATGATGCTTTGTAAGTGCAAGCAAGCAGGTGAAGAATGAGGTATGCTCATCCCTGAAGACATACATGCATAGACAGACAGGCAAACAGACAAAGAAATAGGCAGATCGTGAGATACATAGATAGATAACAACATAATCATAGATAGACACATAGATAGATGCATACACAGATAGACGGAAAGAAAGATAGATAGGTAGGCAGGTTGATGAACAGGTACACATATGGATAGATAGATAGACAGATAGATAGATAGATAGATAGACCGATCGATAGATCGATAGACAGATAGATGGATAGAAGGTAGATAGACCGACAGACAGGAAGATAGAAAGATGGACAGATAGAAAGGTAGATAGAGAGAAACATAGATAGATTGATGGATGGCTAGAAATCTAGAAGCTTGATGGAAAGAAGGAAAGGCAGACGTGCATTTGAGGAGCTGTGCTCTCGACCCCCGCCTTCGGATCCGGTCCAAGCCCCTCCGAATCCTGCTTCACCCACATCCGCGCAATCTTCCCTGCCTTCTCCTCCTGGTCTGACCAGAGGCCACAACAAGTAGAATAGATATACTGTGATGATTCTAGGGGCCTTAATAAGTAGAGCAGATATACTGCGAAGTCTCGGGGGGGTGCCAGGCTTCACTTATTGCAAATCCCTCGCACCAGCTTCTGAGATTGGGGGCCATGCTATTGTGCTATCTGCTTCCCCTGGTTTGCGAAGATGGGACGTAGAATCACAGGGAACGAACTTGCACGCTGAAGCCTAATCCCGAACCCCTGTCCAGGCACACAGACCTTCGAACAAAAACATGCATGCTCAGTACAAAAAGTTTGGGAACGAACCAGGAAACGACAATATAGAAACACAAACATGAACGAGACGGGTAAATACTTGCATGCTTTCCGATGCTGCCATGTGGCATAAAGCACTGCGAGGTGCTCTGTTCGCGGATCCCGCACCCCGAGGCGACCGTCTGGCGGCGTACCCGCCCGGGCCGTCACCAGGCTCCTCAGGAAAGCAAAGCTTGCGGTAAGCTTCAAGAAATATCTGTTGCTTGAACGTTCATCGGCTTTTTGGGCTCGTGGGGTGTGGTGAACGGCTCTGTTTCCTTGCATGTGCCCGATAAACTGTAAATCCGGTAGCAAGACAGAAATCACCAGGGCTCCGAGCAAAGTCAGACAGCGCCTGCACTAGTCGCCACACCCGTCTTAGTTTTCTCTCTCCAGCAAGCTTCAGCACCATGCTGGAGATATCAGTGCCCATATGTCACACCCGCAGGTCTTCCTGAATTGTCAGCAAAATCCTTTCAGAATGTCCGTCCCACAACCGAAGCCCCAGAACGAGCTTCAGGAAACAGAACAGCTACAACCCTGCTCCACTAATCATGTAGAAATTCGGCCGGACTTACCGTAACTATATTATACACCCTAAACTTGGACTCAACAGCTCCGATGTCCCCGACGACTGTGCTATCGAGCCTACATGCACCCTAAACCCTAAACCCCCCATGCATGAAGACCCCACAGCAGTGAGATCAGCCGTACGTTCGAAGCTCAAAGGCCGCTTATGCTAGAAATCGATGTTGCATTGTCGTGTTCGATTCTGTTCTGTTCGAAAATACAACATCATGCTTCATTCAGTTCTGTCATATCAGATTTGTTCCATGTTGTGCTATATTACATTTCATTGCAATCATATTACATTGCATCGCTTGTATTATCTGGTATTCGTTTGGCTTAAGTTTAGGTAGTGCTTGGTATTCTATATGAGCCCAGCAGCTCGTGGGTTTCGAAATCCAAGCAGTAAGTGGGGCTCTTGGAATCGAAGTAGAAGCGCTTCGTGCAGACTCCTCGCAGCTCATCGCCGGATTCCCGGAAGACCTCCGACAAAAGATGGGGGGCAGGAGAGCTACTGGAATCCAACCCATCACTGCACGAGCCCCAGCGGTAGATATCACGGAAATCGATCCAACATGGGCGAAGGGCATCAAACTGCGGAGTGAAGGGTTCTCGGGTGTCTGGGTGCATGGCTCCAAGCCTACACTAACTAACTCACTCTCTAACGAACGAATCCAAGGAGCGCAGGCGTAACGCTTCTGAAACATCTTGTCCTTGACAAGTACTCCGCCGGTTTTGAGGTCGAGTATCTGGACCTTTGCCAAGTTTATGATGCCAGCAGCTTTCGGAATTGAAGCGAGGTGATGGTGGCATTGGTTGGCAAACCATGCTCCAGGCTCCAGGGAAGGCAAGCAGGCATCGTTACAAGCTAGCCAACACGGCGCACGCACAGTCTTTTCCTAAGCCTTCAAAGCTCTAAGGGGGCACGATGGTCTTCCTAGCAGTGAAGATCCTGAGGCTGTCTTAATGGACAACAAGATTGCTACCGGATCGAACCCTCCTTTCAGCGCTGCGAACCTTCTCATGGAAACTCTCCATGAAGTTCTTGAGCTTCCCCTCAACCAGCGGCGTGCGCTCTTCCATTGGGACATCGTTTGGCACCTCGCCGGCCAGGGTTCCGACCCGAAACTCAAAGTCTAGCGTGTCGAGTCATGCCCTCATTCTATAGGGCATGGCTCCCAGGGAGAAACGTCTGCTTGCTAGATTGACGAGAACCTTCAAAATCAGGAACACCCTTTACCGCATGTTGGCAAAAATAAGTGAAGTTTCCTGCAAGCTTCTTCGGCTCGCACCGTGCGACTACAACCGTCAATGTGGCAAGCCTGATGGTTTTGAGGGTCTGGGGGCCTCCGTGTTGTACACCTCCATCTGCGCATTGCAAAGGAGCACGGCATTCGTGTTGGGCTCCTGGATCTGGAAGGCTCGAGAATAGCCCCTATACAAGCCCTAAATAGCAGCTTCCTACTTCGAAGCGGCTTGCTGATGTTGTTGCACCGCCGACATCTGCGGCGAGCCCAAGCACCAGGCATCCACATGCTTTCGTCCGATGTGACCCAAGGCCATCAGCCCAAATACCAGACTGTGTCCAGTGTGTATATATACATGTACATATGTATGTATGTATGTATGTATGCATGTATGTATGCATGTATGTGTATGTGTATGTACGTATGCATACACACACACATGCATGCATGCATGCAGGCAGAGAGAGAGAGATTGACATACATACATATACATATATATATATATGTATACAACTATCGTTGTATATATGTATGCGATATATATATATACATATATATATATATATATGTTATGTGTGTAAATAGGTGTACAAACATACATATATCTATGTATAGGTCCACCATTACGACAACAGGCAACTGTAATGACTGTCATGCTTGTCTCCTCTCCGGCTTCATCAGACTCTTCCTCCTTTGCCTCGGTCTTGACTTTCTTGCCCTCCTCCCCGGGGCTTTCGAGGTCGAAATGAGGTTGAGAAGTTTTGTTAGTTTGGAACATGTGAAAGGATTCTTAAAAGCCGATGGCCTCCTCTTTCACCTCCTTCTTCATCTCCTTCTTGACTTCCTTCTTTATCTCTTTCTTTACTTCCTTCTTGATGTCCTCGCCGAAAGGTGGCTGGCTGTGGTGTTGACAACTCAAAGCAACCCACTCCGACTCAGTCTTCACCCGTGCCCACCTCTTTCTTCACCTCCTTTTTAACTTCTTTCTTGCCTTCCGGCTTGGCCTCTTTCTTCACCTCCTTTTTCACCTTGGATGGCGGCCGCGATGACAGAGTTCACTACTGGGCACAGCGACGAACGAGCGCCAGGTCACCTCCTTCTTGACCTCCTCTTTGCCGTGCCGGCCAGTAGCAGTTGTCTTGGAGTCCAGCCTTCTCAGTGCTTGAAGAAGCCGGGTGCGGAGCTCTTGGTTTTCGACTTTCAATGTCTCGAAGTCCACTTGCAGCAGCATGAGCCTTGAGCTTGTGCAGTGGGGTGCTTCAGGGGTGCCTGCTACCCCTATATGGAGGTCCATGCCCCATGTTGAGCACTATTTACCATTCCTTCGTCGAGAGAGATACGATGCGCAGCTGTATTTTTGTGAGGTGACACTGGCAAAACAGTCAACTTATAACGTGAAAACACTAATGAAAACTGCAGCTGAAGCCACCTGCCTTCCGCCGGCAAGTCCTCCTCATCATCGTCGCGAGCGCCGCGACGAGGGCTGCGACTACGATGTCTTCCCATGGCCCGACTCCCTCTCGTAAAGACGATCAATCTTACAATGTCTTCCAATAATCCAAGGCTCATTTTTTAGCTAGGGGCTCGGGCATTGCGAGAACGCATTACATTTGCGTTTTGTCGTGCAGCTGATCCACGGAGGCAAGCTGCTTCCACCCATGCCATAATTGTAATGCATAGGGGGTGGGCTCAAGTCTTCCGGGATTTGGTTCAAGGCTCTCTACGGAAGTCATGCGACACTCGCATTAATCGTCTCCAGCGGGGACGCGGGGGGGGGCAGCACTGAAGCCGGTCTGACTGTGCCAAGTATCATCTGAACAAATCTCGGCGGACTGAGCCAAAAAAGCCATCCGTCAGAACCGGTCCCGGAACATTAGCCAGCCCACCAAGGATTCCCCACCCTTGAACATCGCCTGTTTGAAACTCCCTGTGTCTCAATCCATGTCATGTTCTGTCTCCGTTAGTTTTCCGCCGTGAAAAGCTGCGCATACGGCGTGATAAACAGAGAGACCTAAGCCCCCAACCCCACCTGCAACGTGACCAACTACGCGCGTGCGTGTGACGAAAGGCTCCTTCTTATTCCTACACTAGGGCACCAGATGCGACGGTTTGTCTTTTTTCAAAGGCTTCCAGGAAGTTCGCCGCATGCCTGGCGAAGAAAAGGGCTCATGATAGTGTGACGTGCCATGCAAACAGCTAAATGACTCGCAAGCAAAGACCTAGACTGGCAAGATTCAACTGTCGAGCCGACTTATCTGGCAAACCTGGCCTTACAAGGAACAATCCAACGATTTGAAGAGTAAGCTTTAAAAGGAATCATGTCACGAGGACCAGGCGACAAGCGGCTGAAAACAACAAACACACACACACACACAACCACACACACACACACAAAACGCCCCCCAGGCTTCGTTGTCTGTCGTTGCCTGTTGCTCGTGTTTTTGTTTTTCATGTGTTTATTATTCGTTTATTTCTCAATCAAAACAAAAGCGAGGAACAGCATAACCGTATAAGCATAAACATCGAAACAAGAACGAACTCGATCAAAACAAACAGTTCCCCGACCCCAGACACCCTTGCCCGTGCCGAAAAGTGTGCTGGTTCGTTGGCGGCTTGCTTTTTCTTTTACTTTTCCGGAATTTGAAGAGTTTAACTATAGTCGCTAGTTTCAATTTCTTAACACCCTTTGCTCAACATTCGGCGCCTGTCTTTGCAGGCGCCGTCAGCCGATAGCCCCTGACACGACGGCGGCCGTCAACAGCAGCATAAAGAGGAAGAGCCCACCGACGACGGTGTAAAGCCTCATCCAGCAGGGATCTCGAGAGCCAGACACGCGATGCACGGGAAGGGGAACATTAAGTGTCCCCGAAGCCACTAGGGGCTCGATGAACAGAACAAGCCATGCTAAAACTACCCCCTGACACACCGCGAATCGAAAAGCTGCCCAGCCACGTGCTGGCTCCGTCCTGCCCGATGGACGTCCCCATCCTTGAACACTCTTGATTTCTGCGTACGTGAGGGAGAGGACGTGACAGGTCGTGCTCGAGGCTTTCAGGGTTGAAGGGCTGCTAATCCGTCCTTACGAAGACGACAGGCCCAGCACAACTCGCGAGTGCCAAACGACCTAGAGGACCTTTCCTTGTTGTACTAGGCACCCAGTAGCCTAGTACGGAACTCTGCCACAAAAAGGATCTGGTTATTGTCACGGAAACAAGAACAAAAATCAGGACTACCGACGATCTCTATATGGCTGGATGACAGCAGCACAGCCAAGGTCAATACCTGGCCCGCAACCAGGAGAGGCTAAATCCAACCTCCTTTTCAGCAAACACCCAAACCCTGATCCTAAACCCCCAACCTAACCGTCCTAGCCCAAAGCCGAGACCCCGAATACTGCAGATTTACTAAGTGCAAACGAACGCCTAAACTCCGAAACCGAAACTCCTACACCCTGAACCCCAAAACCCTATTTGAGCAGGGACTGCAATGCACTAAGCCCTGAATCCCTAAACCCCCGAAACCTGAACCCTAAACCCTAAACCCCTAAACCCCTAAACCCTAAACCCTAAACCCTAAACCCTCCTAAACAAAGAACCCCCAAGCCGTGACCCTAACGCTCGGGCCGTCGCTCGCCCACGGGGGACCCCTTGAGCATCTCCCGAGCTGCCTTGCGCTCTGCCTGCTTGGAAGCGACTGTACGATATATGATGTGTCTGATATGTGGTATATGAAATTTACTGCACAAAATATGTATATATATATATGTGCACATACATTGTTTGTAATATATATATATATATGTGTAGCAATAATATCCAGTACAGTATGGGAGGTTCAGGGCCTGTCAACAAGCACGGATTGGGGGTCAGGTGAGTCAGGTGCTGTGCAACATGTACATACTGGGCAAGGGTCTTGGATTGTGCCAGGTTTGCAGAGCTTAGGGTATCCGCACTAGCTTCGGCAGTTGCACACTAGCACACTGAAGCTAGCAAATCCATTTAGGCAGCAGTCGCAAGAGCGACATGTATTCTGAAATTGAAAACAACCGGCCGAGCGATGTTACTTCATTACTTTTCCAAACTGTCCGAATGCAAACCGGGTCCTCCACGCGACTAGTGATTAATTTGATGCACCCCATAGGTCATGTAATCCGCACCTCGGTTGGCTCGGCACGCCGTGGCAGGGCTGAGCCTGAAGCAATTTGTCAAGGTCTTGTCCGGGATCACGGTCCACACCCCCTGAACCACAAATACCAACGAACTAGCAGCCTGATTTCTCAACTCCCGAACCCGTTTCATCTTTAAGGCTTGGAAGCAGATCATTGAATGAATGCTCAACAGAGACTGCTGCTAAAACCAACGGAGTGACACTGCCGAAATACCAACAAGCGACCTTACTTGGTGGACGACTCTGTAGACCCGCATACACCTGCTTCCCTCCCGTCCTTCAGAACTCGAAAAACACCTCATGGGAATGCAGAGTCCCAGATCATGACTGAGAGCTGCGCCGGCTTGCTGCACCCTTGCGACACAAGCAAATTGGAGCTATTGGTTCACTTGTTGCTTCTTTAGAGCTCTGGGGACTTTGCTCTTCGATTGCCGGTTCAACTTTAGCAAGCTGTCGGCTGTGAAGTACTCTGGCAATCTCTCGCAGGTCTTCTGGTCTCGGACGCAAGAAGCAATGAAGTGCTCTGTAGCACTGTAGCTTTCTCAGCTCGCAGGTGCGTGGTTCGTCGCGGGCTTGAATCCATGGGATTCCACGTGTTCTCGTCACAAGCGGCGACCAAGGACCCAATCTTGCCCTCAACTCTCTTTCTGCCACACGCATGGACTGGTCCAGCTCGGCTGACCGTTCTTAACTGGCAAGCTGCGCGGGCTGAGGCTCAAATCCTCAGTTTCCTTACCTTTGCTTTGGGCTATGGGCGATGTCTCCCGATGATTCTCCCTTCCTCAGGTTAGGACAACGGGTCGATCCAATGCGCATTCTTCATGTCTGAAATTCACTTCCGATCCCTGACACAAAACGAGCGCACAAGATTCAGATAGACTCACTCAAACCGCTTATTGCTTATCAGTTTTTGTGGCAGTTTCTGCAGCTCCACCCAAGAACCAGGCAAACTGCGAGGGCAGTGCACGTACCGCAAAGATGGTGAGAGTGGTTGTACATGTATGTGTGGGTGTGCTCGCTTGTCGCAAGCCTCTTGAAGCCGTCGGGATCCTTCAGCGCAAATCATGCCCCCACCCCCCTCTGCACAATCCAAGCTCATGCTGAGGAACTGAGCCTCACACTTGCCGTTGCTTACGGCATAGCTCTCGGCGACGAAGCCACGACCTCGCGAAGGCTCGGCGAGCACGAAGGGAGGTCTTCTGCTTGGAGGGAGCTGGAGGATTACAACAACACATGTGTGCTACATGCGCTTGCAAGTCCAACATCTGAGAACTGAAGCGTGCAATTCAGCCTGGCGAGTAGCACCACGACAGTAGAGCGACCGATCGCCAACTAGACCAGTGGCACCCGTGATGCCATTGCATCCAACAAACGTTTGCTGTTCATGTGCTGTCATAGGTTCAGGCCACGGATGCTCGTGCATGCAAGCTCAAAACTACTATTTCAAGGTATGCGCATGTTTGTCTTGTATGTGTACTGTTTGCAAAGCAACTGCTTATCCGTCCTGCAGTTCTGCTGCCCCAGCATCTGTTTCTTTACGTCTGCGACGTCTGCATGTCTGCTATGTAGGACTGATGAGAGCATTGAACTAGATGCATGTCTATATTATATACATCTGCCTGCACTCGGCTTTTGTGATTATACAGGCTGTGTGAGTGCTGGCTCCCGCACGTGTGCATGTGAATTGGTGCACCTCATGTGCATGCAGAGCCACGTGCGTGAGTCTCAATAGGTGCGGTGATGTGTGGGTTTGTAGGTATAGGTGTGGATGTGTCTGTATGTCTGCATACACGTACAATCACGTACATACCAGTATCTACGTCTGTCCGCACCAGTGCAAGTGACTGTAACGTTGTGTGTGTGTGTTCACAATGATTGATGCTGTCCCGAAGCGAACTTTCTTCCATGCCAAGACCAGTCCAACCAGTCCAAAATAGTCAGGAGATCGAGGGAGTCCCAGCTTGTCCCCACAACAGAGGGAGCCTCCGAGGCAACCGTGAAGCACCACAAAGTCCCACCCGATAGTTATGACCCTTCGCTTTCTTCGCGAAGGCCTCCGGCGTAAACCAGGGCAGCAAGGAGGAGCCACCTCACCATCACTTTCATTAGATTAAGCGCTCCGCAACCATGGGGCGTGAGGGTGCAGGTGAGTGTGGGTTGCAGGTATGGAGTTGACATGAGGAGAGCACTAAGACACTAAGTGAAATGACTGGCTCAACCAGTCGAGTGGACCCTGGTGCCAAAGCAGGACGTGAACTCCCGAGTAGCTACTACTTGCACTAGCCAGTGCTGCTCAAAGCGGCCATTTTTGTGCCCTGCGGGCCACCAAAGGTGGCGAGGGAATTGCCATCGGTTCGAATATATCACAGAGTCCGCGAGGGCCCAGCACGAAACCGAAAAGCCTGAGTTCTCTAAGATGCCACCTTGCTGCCCTGCTTGCAGTGAAGAGCCTTTTCTCAAGACATGTCACAAATCTCGCGTCCAATCACAAGCATTACCGGGAAGAGACGAGCTCGAGCCGAAGACAGGCAACAGCTGCACTCCACAGGCCTTGCGCAAGGGAATCAAATTCGCCGATCTTGTGGTACATGATCGAAAGCAAACAGAAGCCCAACACCCTAGTTATTGTAGATTTCGGTCTGCGTGACTCTGTGTGGGCAGGTGATCCTGACAGCGGAGGGCCCTACGTCTCGCAACCGATGTGCGAAACATTGCAAGCACCAAGCCCAAGCCGTCAGGCTTAAGTCTTGACAGCATGTCTGGCGCTGCATGGCTTGCCATGTGGTGAAGGCGCTTTGGGGTATGTTGGACCTATCAGCTGCAGTACTTGCCTGCCTAGCTACCCAGAGGCCCGCCCACCCAAGCAACCCACCCGCTCACCCGCTCAAGTGTGTCTACATATGTCTACCTACATGCCATCATACCTTCCTACCTATGCATCACCGTCTAGCTGTATCAGAGCCCCTGTGGGTGCAACATGACAGCCAACCCAGCATAAGCATTCCCTATCCATCGTGTCGGCATCAAACGGTGCGCAGAAGCTTTCTCGGAGCTGCGGACTTGAATCGATGGCGAAGCAGCACGCTCATGCACCAATCCAGCCTTAGTCATCATGACGATTCTGCTTCTGCGTGTGCGAACATGCCTGCTGTTCTGCTGATTTCTACTCGAAGACATGAGCAGGGAGCTGCAACTGGGGGGACCCCCAGTCCGGTTCGGCCATAGGAAGTGTCGCTCCACCGGAAGTTTTCACGCTGCGCATCTCGCTCGCTCTCAGTCTCTCTCTGTTTTGGCACAGCTGATCGAGCCGGGGGGGTCCCAGGGGAGATATAAATGATACAAACCTCTGCCGAGAGCCCCAACCTCGAAACGTGGAGTCGCTCTTGACGATGAAAGTGGCCCCACCAGCCTGACACAAAATCCAGCAGATGTGGCGCGTTCGTCGTCTTCGCTATAGGCAATTGAATGACGACGACGAGAACGGCTACAACATACTGCAACTACTGCTAACTGCTACCTGCTACCGCTACAGCTACGCGGCAACTCATGCGGCTGCTGCTCATGCTGCAGTGTTTGGGGTTTTTGAAAATGCTGGGCGTGTTGCCATGACATCGGCAAAAGCCAAAAGTCAAGAACAAGACCACCACGACAAGAGAGAAAATGGGGTAGCGTTTGAAGCCTCCTTCTGGGCTGCAGACTGTGCGATACTGTATGTGAGCTCTGACAGTCTGGGGTCGGCCCCAACGAATCTTAACAAACGCAGTCGCTCCACAAAGCTGGTATGAGCATTTTAGATCGGACCACAGATTAGTGCACCCGACGGCCACGCCCGAAGCTCCACAGTAGTCTGAGCCTGTGAGCTCCATGTTACTGTAGCATTCAGAATAATTGTCAGGCTCGCGTCTTGTTCGGCGGCGGCTTCAGTTCCACGCACGCCAACGACCCATTTTACCGTCATGAAGTCATGTAGAACAATATACATACATACACACATCCATGCATGCATAGGCCACATTACTGCATACATGCATACATACATATGCGTGACTTCCACTGTTGTTATAAGCGTTGCATATCTTCCGTGATGGTTATGGTTACTCTTATACTTCGCCTTCTCCAAGGGTACGACGTCTCCTTTGGACGTCTGCAGGTACGGGAGGTCGCGCTGCTCGAAGCTTAACAGCTGGCTTGGGATCTTCTCCACACCTCAGGAGGCCAAAACGGATCCAATCACCTACAATTTCTGAGTCGTAGCAATTTAATTAAAGGGTAGTTTCTCGCTAAAGCCTCAAAATGGAAGGCTTCATTACTTTGGTTTGGCTTGTGTGCATCGCAGGACCAAAAAGCCAATGCGTCACTGATACAGATGTTGCAAACCTAAACACGCGCTCGTCTTGACTGTTGAGCGTGACAGAAAACATATCGAGTAATCCCTTCGTTGTTGGATAAATAGCCCCTAATGATAAAAAAACACTTTCCAGGAAATCTCACTGAAATCACACCAGCGTTTTAAATAGAGCAAGAACCCGGACAGGAGCAGGAGCAAGATCCTCCCCAATGTGACATTAGCCATGGAAACTACCCCTAATCATAAAATCGCTTCTCGATACTACAAGCGCAGTGTTTATCTCACATCCGTCGGCGAGAATACACATCATCAGATTCTCATCCCCATGTAGACGCTGTTCCTAAGTCTCCAAATTGCGCAAGCTCAATTTTCAAGTGCTTCATTGCATTCAAGAGCACAATTTGGCACCGAATCTAGGTAGACGCTGCTTTTTCTCGTCTTTTGAACCGATGCCCTGGGTATCGACAAGCACTCGAGATCCACNNATTCCGAGTTTTGATCCTTTGGCTGCTTTTGTGGTCCACGTATCGAGCACTGACCTTTGGAGCAACACCAGTAACATCAAAACCAGCCAATCCCCACGAAAACGCTCGCATAAACGCATGCACAAGACACACATCAGTGGCATCACAGCACGCCCAAACCAGCCATTGCCCATGTAGATGTGGCTCTGTCTCCGTGTCCGATGTCTGCGTGTCTGTGCATGTGCGTGCCAGCGCCAATGGACCAAACAGTGTGACCGAGACCGGTTTGGATGAGCTGGTCCTGCTTTCCACAGGGCCACGTGATTAGCTCCGAAATACACACATATCCATGTCATCACAATACACCATGACCGGTGACAAAATCGATTCCACAAGCACCCGTTCGACAGACAAATGGCATCACGGCACATCGCAACCAGCAGTTCCCCATGTAGAGGCACAGGTGGCATCACAGCATAATATCAAACCGGCCATTCTCCGCCATGTAGACGCTCAATTCCACAAGCACCCGTTCGAAACACACATCCGTGCATCACAAAACATCAAAACAAACCATCCCCCGTGTAAACGCTCAATTCCACAAGCACCCGCTCCAGACGCATAATCAATGGCATCAAAACGCACCTTCCCATGTACACGCTCGATGCCATTTCCCATGCATGTAGACGCTCGATTCCACAAGCCGCTCGAGACGCTGGCAGCCAGCCATTCCCAATCTGATGCTCGAGTCCACAAGCCGCTCGAGACGCACACGTCAGTGGCAGCCAGCCATTCCCCATGAGTCTCGATTCCACAAGCACCCACTCGAGACGAACATCAGTGGCGGCACACCACATCAAAACCAGCCATTCCACAAGCGCCCACTCCAGACGCACATCAGTGGCATGACAGCAGATCAAAACCAGCCATTCCCCATCTAGACGCTCGATTCCACAAGCCGCCCGAGACGCACATCAGTGGCAAACAGCCATTCTCCATCTAGACGCTCGATTCCACAAGCGCCCGCTCGAGACGCACATCAGTGGCATGACAGCACATCACAACCAGCCATTCCCAATCTAGACGCTCGATTCCACAAGCACCCAGTCGAGACGAATACATCAGTGGCAGCACGCCACATCAAACCAGCCACACTCCTCATCTAGACATTGGATTCAACAAGCGTCCACTCGAGACACACATCAGTGGCAAGTGGCAGCCAGCCATTCCCCATCTAGACGCTAGATTCCACTAGCGCGCACTCGAGACGCACATCAGTGGCATCACAGCACATCAATACAGCCATTCCCCATCTAGACGCTCGATTCCACGTGGAACCATCGGATCGTTCACAAATAGAAGTGATTGTTTGAAAGCGGCTTCCCGAGTGTGGACGCTCATCGATGCGTATTTCAACCCAGCGATGCGAGATACAGCGACCACTAGTAGGGGGATTGGATTATGTCAGTATGCCTTGGTGCAAGGGCCAGTCTTTGAATACCTCTTCCGGTTCTGGGCACTTGGCGCATGATCTCTTCGGCAACGTTCTTGCAAGCGGTGCTCGCCTCCACTGCATTCCTAGTAATCCCTACGTCATGTCGCTGTTCTTCCTTTTTCCGTGGTGTGTCTCGCTCTCTCGCTCTCTCTCTCTCTCTCTCTCTCTTTCTCTCTGGACGTAAAATGTACATATCTAGATGCACATGTCACGCCTGTATGTGCGCGACGAGTTCGACAACTACAGAATGCCTGTTGGATGTGTTGTGCCACGTCATCAACGAAGGCAATTGGACATCTGGGCTCCTCATCCCTCCAGCCTGCAGCCGTTAACCCTCGACTCTCATGTGCATCCTCGCAACCGCAAGGAAATTCAGCCTGGAAGTTCGATGGCATGTGGGGGCAGGGGGCACTAGCTGCTGCGTGACAGCTGAATCAGGAGGGCAAGGGAATTGTTTAACTTTGACAGTGGACACATCGGCTGGTACAAATGCCTTCGTCTGTCAAGTTTCATAGACCCACACGCCTGCAGCCCAAAACTGAACTGCTTGCTGAGAGCTATAAATAAATCCTAAACCCTAAACCCTAAGAGCTCAGGGACACCAGTGCCAAAGCCACAAGTCAGGCCTGCACCAAGCCTTGGGGAGCAGTGGACTCCAAGACCTCCCAGAGATTAGGGTTTAGGGTTGAGTGAATATCGATGAATGTAGGACCACTAGCGACCCGACACTGATGACTTTGCTGCCGCCTGGGCCGGCAGTCCTGATGCTACCCCCAAATCCCCACATAAAAACACAAAAAAATCACCACATAAAAAAAAACACTCGCCATGCCAAACTCCCAAGGGGCAAACTTCGAAGTCATAGGTATAACTATAGAGCCACAACCCTCTAGCACGTGGAGATGTTCGGCCTCCAACTCCGACATCAGCTCTCCAAAGAGATGGTACCTCGAGCAGCGGGCAATTTGGGGCTTGGTGCCTTGGCTGCTGGCTGTCAGGACAGCAACGTCGACAACGGCGACCACGACGACCCCAGCACCTCCAGCAGCAGCAGCAGCCGAAATCCGACCAACAGCAACAACGGCAACAGCAAAAGTAAAAGCAACAGCCACTATGACAGTACTGCATCACGCTGGCGAAGGATTTTCGGACCTTGGGCTCGAAGGCTTCGCTCAGATGCCTTGAGAGATCGATCTTGATGAGATGCAGTTCATGCCTTAAGGTTTAGGTTGTTGAGGTTTCAGGCAGGCTTCAGACCGCATTCGCTCAAAACTCCCGGGCCTCATATGCGCGTGCACACAGCTGCAGTGTAAGTGACCACAGGATGTCAAGGTCGTAAGTAATGGCCATGATTGCTGCTGTCACAACTGTCTTTCATTCGTAGAATCACCCTCCTTGCTATCCTCATCATCATCACCATCCCGCCCACCGTCATCGGAATCAGCTAGAACATCAGCAAACCCCACCGACAGCCCGCTATCGTCATGTCCAGGGTTCCTCCTCCTCCTCCTCCTCTTGCTCCATCTGGTCTTCCAAGTTGATCTGTTGATCCAATCCGTCGCGTGTTCTTCTGCGCCTGCTTGATGACAGAAGAGCAACCTTGTCGACCATGTCAGGGCTGCGCCAAGTGCCTACCTCAACTCGACCAAATTTTTGTCCTGCACCGACAGGGGTCACCTTTGCATCTCTGTGCCCACGATGCCCCCGATGCAGGCCTGGCGATGATTCCCCGAGTTCTCGAATTTGCAGCAAGAAGGACTGGTGAATCCGTGCAGCAAGCCAGCCTCTCCTGAAATTGCCTAGCTCCAAACAATAAGGTACCACCCTACAAGAAGGCCTCTTTGGGCTTGCCGAAACCCGGGTCTCGTCGACCGATTTCGGGTTTAGGGCTTAGTATGATGCCAAAGCTAAGAGTGCTAACAAGCCAGTGTTGCCCCGTGGGCGATGCCCACTCGGCAGCTCACGCTGCAACCCTGCCCATCAACGAAGCCTCAGGACACAAAGCTCACAATGCTTTCGTTGTGGTTCCGCATTCACGAAGTGGTAAGCCCTATTTCGGGCCAACTGCTACATTACTTCCCAGGTTGGCCCTGCAGATCTTTGCAGGTTCAACGGCGACTACACGGGTGTCTACATCGATATATGGCAAGCTGCTTATAAAATCGCTTCTGCATACACGGAGGGGGTGTGGGATTGGCGTGTATGGCTGGTGCGTGCTCTGTTGCCCCAGAAGCGCTGAGAGCGGAAGGGTGAGAGCATCAAAGTAAGGGGCACTCAAGCTGAGGCCAAGGTGTCAGCCAATCGCGTACGCATCGCCCAAGTCTATAGGCGAAGTCAAGCCAACCAAGAATCCCAACGGCTGTTCCCGAAACCTCGAGGCTGAAGCTGTAAACCGCCCCTCAGCTTGGTGAGGGGCCATGTGCTCCTGCCCAGCTATGTACAGCTCGGACCTTGGGGTCAAGCCGTTCCACGGGGTCCTGTTACATAAGTTAGGATCTGAAGATCGAAGGACCCGAACGTGGAGTTTCCAATGTGATAACTACAGTACTTAAGTTACATTGACCTCAGAGAGGCGTCGGCGTGTCTGAGAAGCATCTTGATGCCCTCTGACATGCCCTCAAACCCAGCGTAACCACACTATGCATCCGTGCTCCATCGAACCCTTTATGACAAAACAGCCGCAATGCCATGCTGACCATATATTGCCCTCATCAGTATTGCAGCGCTTGCTGCGGCATACACCACTGTTGTCTTCTTCAGTCCGCACATTCCGTGGTTGGAGTTGTGGTTGCACCATGCCGCAGTTCCCTAAGCCTAAACGACCCTAAAGCCACGGAATGGAATCGCCAGCAAAGTCAAAGGATTTAAGTGCAGGACCATTTCAAGTCCGAAGAGAACCACCTCAGCAAGAGCATTCGCTGCGATGTTAGCTCCATGCCAGCACTTCCATTGCCCGACGGGTTCCTTCAGACCTAAGCTGAAACTTACGATGGCTGGGGCACAGACGCTCACTGGATGGTTCTTCTGCGTGAGGGGCAAATCCGCCTGCGGGCAGTACGCTCTCAAGCTTGACATGCGTGATATGAGTCCTGATGAGACGTTTTGATGCATTCTGCACCCGCTTACTCCTATTGATCCTGATCGCGAGCCGCAACACTGAACCCTGACAGCTGGAGGGGAATCAACGATTGCCTAATATGCAGGATAAATCTCTGGTGCCGGCCAGTCACTTAGATTTGTGTTCTGGCACTTCGACTAGCTTCCACTAGGACTATCGCTGTCTTGCTCCCATGGTTTTTGCGATTGTAGCGGCGGTAGCAAGCGTTGCTTTCCAGCCTCTACCTCCGGAGTTTTCCGGAGTCCTGAAACTCTCGTCACCGGCCTGCCCCGCAATGTAGGCATCACCGACAGTCTCGACTTTGTAGACCTGGATACGGGGTCTGACGAGGGCTCGATGCAGGTCTTTGGTGGGCTAATCGAATGTTATCGCATATTGTAGTGTAATATAAGACCCAAAACCGTAAATATAGACTATTATGTTATCGTATATTATATTAACTGTTTGTTAATGAGGCTTCGATATGTATATATATATATACACATACATACACACACACATATATATATATATGTATATAGATACACACTTTTTATGTCATAAAGACCTAAGAAATATACAGACAGACAGACAGACAGACAGACAGACAGACAGACATACATACATACACACGCACGTACATACATACACACGTACACACACATACACATACACACACACACATACATACATACATACAGACATACAGACATACAGACACACAGACATACAGACATACAGACATACAGACATACAGACACACACACACGCACACATACACATACACATACACATACACATACACATACACATACACATACACATACACATACACATACACATACACATACACATACACACACATACACATACCCATACCCATACCCATACCCATACACATACGCATACGTTACACATACACATACACACATACATACATACATACATACATTCATACATTCATACATACACAGACACACATATTAAACTATAGTATAGGTGGGTAAGGAATCGGAAGAAATACTCGTAAGCCCGGCATCGGAGCACACAACAACACCCACAAATCCCCTCTGTGCCTGATGCTTGTCTGTCAAATCCTCGGCCACACGAACTTTGACATCAGGGTTTTGGGTTAAACATCCCCAACGAGTTCCTAGGGCGATCATCCTCCGGATGTCGAATCTCACAACTTGACGGAGGAAATGGCCTGCTAACGGTAGAGGACGAAGGACATTGGCATCGAATTATTACTGGGGTAGGCCTACTCATACTCAACATGGTTGCAGGCTACCGGCTCAGCCCCTGAGAAAAAGAGGCTCCCTGAGCGTCTCCTTTGCTCACTGATTCCTTGCTGCCGAGAGTCATCGAAAAGGTGGAACAAATCCTCGGTTTGCTCACAGCTCGGCTACTAGAGGAGCCTTAAAAATTGCAGCAAGGAGCCATTGGGGCATATCATGCAGGGATACCAACTTTTTCAGACCTTTATATACACAAGTCATCGCTGCTGTCGACTCGAGCAGTGCAAGCGATGGCACAACGACAACCCCGCACTTGGCAGAACAGGAAGACATGTAGCAGAACACAGCAAGCCCGAAACGAAATGCTAAGTTCTCGCTTTCCATAGTCCTACAGTTTGATGCGCGCGGAGGTGCTTGCATGTTCGGTGTAGGAGCGTGCAACCGGTGATGCAAGCTGCTCTTACACACCGCTGAGAGCCCGGGCTCCTAGGACCCGTTGATCTCACTAAGGAATGCGTCGCATGGTCAGATGCCACTTGAACCTTCCGATCCTTTAGGGACCAACTGCTCCACGAGGCGAGATCCCTCTAAACAGTTCTTGCCCCCCCTACCCACCTGACAGCCCCTTTAACCTCCGCAGCCCCAAGCCAATGTGGCTTCCTGCATGCAGTCAAGTCGCTCCAATAAACTGCACTACCTCCTGCGGCATTCTCGTGCTGGCCTGAGTGTATGGCTACGGGATAGGGGTCAAAGACACTGCGTAAGTCAAAGAAGATTGAAGAGGTTTCGAGGTCTGTACCCAAGCTCATGATGAGGCAGTTGAATGTCCATCAGAGGTGCCAACCCTCTGAATTCGCAGGGGCGCAGGCTCGTCCACAGCAACACACAGCTGGGCTCGTTCCATGAAAACCCATACACGACAACCCAGACAAGCATCCTGAACCAGACTTGGGCAGCCGCCAGCTTGGTGAATCCACACAAGTCGGACTGTGCGATCGTCGCCCTCTGGTACCTCCGTTTTGCCGGAGATGAAACGCAAGGGCAAGGGCCACCACGAAGAATCCAAAAAGGCGCTATCGCAGGACGACTGGGGGGGGGGGGGTGCATGCGCAAGATTGACACAACTCAGCGCACTTGCGAGCAAGAACAAGCAATATTGCGAGCTTCGGGATACGACGGGGTTCACGGCGTTAGAATGCAATGAAAGTTTTCGATCACAAAAAAAGGAGGAGCGGTTTGCGCCGTGCCCTCACCGTGCCCAATGACGACTGCACATGCTCCTGCGCGCAAATTTTAAAGTCCGAGAGCCGCCGCCCACGTTCTGCTGAACCATGCATCGTAGTTTTCGTCGATGTACATTTCTCGACGTGCAGTTCCAATGGTCTGATATCTGGTCTGATTCGACAGGAGTTCAGAATCTGTTCAGAAGCCAAGGTTTTAAGCGTAAAGAACACTCAGTGTTGACAGACTCCAAAAGACAGGTACAAGCACTAGAACTATAAAGGCAGTCAGCATCATGGGTCTACGACAAGGCAATGGCAACGGTTCCCACACGGGCATTTTCTGAGTTTGCGGCTTGTGGGACGGTAGAGGAGCGTCGAAGGGCAGAGATCGCATCTCCTGCGCTAGGTGATGCTGTATAACAAACAACAAAAACATGAAGCACAGCACACATATCAAATTTCATATGAAACTGTATGTATATATGCAACAATAAAGACTTGGTACTGCTGGTTTTGTAGTAGAAACCTGCAAGCAAGTCTATGTAAGTCCAGGACAGGAAAGTCAGAAATACGACTGTGCGAGTGCTTGGCAAGGGGATACTGGCGATGCTGACAGACATGCACCAAAGATGGATTATGATAATGCCAGCGGTGATGGTGATGCGGACATGATCGACTGGTTGCGGCAACTCTTCACTGCCTTCGACGTGCAGCTAAAGTCGAACATGATCTGATGGGGGTACTATTGTCATTCCTGGTGGTCACACCCGGCATTTCTGTGCTATTTCTTTGGCAGGTGCCTGTGCTCGGGATACCAAGTATGGCCGTGCATGACGTGCGCTGGGAAATCAACCCCTGGACGGCTTGCCATGCAAGCTCGGCAAACCATTTCCTCCTCTGCTGGGCAGCTGCTCATCACTTGGCAATTCTGCCACATGGGCCACAATCAGCTTGTGAAACTGACTAGGTTCCGCAATGCATCTGCAATTGCAGAGCATGTGCTCAAGACTGCATATGCTGCGAAACATAAAAGCGGTGTGTACGTGGTGCATTAGATTCCACATAGGCTGTCTGCTTTGCGAGTAAGAAGGTCAGGACAGATAGAATACGAATAGATATAATAATAATCATTATTATTATTATATCTATTAATTACTATTATCAGCATTATGATTATTATTGCTATTATTATTACTATTATTATTATTGTTATTATTATTATTACTACTATTTTTTTTAACTCAACAATCAGTCGGATTGCCGGCGGGCAGCGAAGCTATCCCAAAGGAGACAGCTCCCGAAGCCAGTCTGCAATCAACTGCTGATGAGGCAGGTCTATGAAACGTCAGTTCCCGGCAGTTTCAGCCACGATGAAGAAGGATGAACGTACTTTGCTTCTCAAGAAACTCTCGCTTCTCTATCATCCAGCAAGCACCTCGGATGTGGGTGCTCCGTGCTGCCGCGCGAACAAGACAAGCAAACAAACGTAGAACCAGACGCAAATGACTTGACTTCTGTTCACATCTATGACAACGAGTTGCTGCGATCTTGCTGCTGGTCTCGGGCACAATCGGGATGCACCTCGTGCTAGCATCATTGCCCATGCACTGAATACAGCCGGACATGAAACGAAGGCAAACGTGACGAATGCCTTTCAAGCCATACACCCTACTGTAGCAACACCCTCCCACTCCCACACGTCGATCGCAACACGCAGAATTGCTCCTCCATTTAGATCAATCTTGGGCACCCCGGGATCTGGGACAGTGAGCCCAGGTTGGAGTAGGACAGAGAGGCTTGGCTGCCGAAGGTGGCCGGCGGTGCTGGGGCCTCGTCGAAGGAAGTTAGTGTGTGAAGAGCCAAAACCAAAACAAACATGGGCCGGTGCGCATGCATGTATGTACGCAGGCATGCAAATATGCATGCATGAGCATTAGGCTTTTCAAGCAGCGCTGGGACAGAGGCAGGAACCATTGGCCCGAGAGCGTGTTAAGACAAGTTTAGACACCTCAAGCAAGGTAAAACGTCGTGCTATGCTTTCGCTGTACAGATATAATGTAAACTTGGTGAAATGATGTACATGTATCTCCGAAGCCTTCCAGCATGGATGGGCTCGTTCAAAATAGTTTCGATGCTGTTTCGGTGTTTACAGCATGCCAAAACAGCACTAGCAGTTGCAGGGTTCCGTGTCTGAGGTATGTTTTCGAAAGCATACGGGCTGGAGCTATGTGCGCAGCGATCGCCAACCAGTAGATGAATCGCATAAATTGGGGCGAGTGACAGGCGCCATGCCTGTCTCTCTGAGCACCTCCTTTTTCTTTCACTGTCCTTGAGGGTTTGTCTCGCTCTGTCTCTCTTTCTCTCTCATTCTCATTCTCTCTCTGTCTCTCTCTATCTCTCAATCTCCCTATCTCTCCGTCTCTCTCTCTCCCTCTCTCTCCCTCTCTCTCTCGGAGGTACAAAAGGATTAAAACTACACTCGACTCGGGTCCCCGTACATCTCTTGTAGCTTCGGTGGGTAAGGCACACCAGGGTACTTTATGCCCCTGATCTCTTGGTACCGTCAGCCTTGCTCGGAAGACAAACAAGTTACCATGAGTCAGCAGAACCAGTAGAACATGTGGGCACGACCGGCGACGGCACAAGTTTACAGCTCTGCGAGGGTCTTGAACTAAGGAAACAAAGTACGGTCGGACTCCCCCAAGATGAACTGCATGTATGCTGGCCCCATCCCCCGGAACACTCTTGCCAAAGTAGAAAAAGTGCTCAGCGAAACAAACCACAACAAACAATCGGCACTCACCGTCTTGATAAGTGTTCCGTCGGCCTACATGAGATACTACAGCTGAGGCAACTGCTTGAGACAAACCAAAGCGAAACAAGAAGCACTGCAAGATCACCACAATGAGTTCAATCCCCCGTGACGGTATTGACTGTGGTTTCCCTTCCGGCACATGTTCCGCCAGCCGGCGGATCGTCAGCATAAGTGATCTTCAAGTCGCTGCCACAGTGGTTTTGTTGGCCGCGTGCGTGTGCGTGTGTGTGTGTGTGTGCGTGTGTGTGTGTGTTTGTGTGTGTTGGGTGCGGCATGGGGCAGAAGTGGTCGGCCATCCTCGGGTTGAGGTTGAGGTTCCCCCGTCCCATAGTTGGTGCCATCTTTGGCTGAGGTGTCGTGTTGATAGTGAGTGGAGGCTGGTCGCTGCTGCTTGCACCGGCTGGGGCAGAACGGATCAAAGGTTGAGGAAAAGCTGCTGGGCCCTGTATTGACAGGTCGGAGGCATTGGTGAATGGTCTGCATTAGCGACGTCTCGTCTGCGTTTGGTCCTGTTGCTGTGAGGTCTTGGGGCTGTAGAAGGTCTGATGTCGCCTGTGTTGGCAGAGGGGGGTTTTGTCGCTGTGTTGTGTTGTGGGCTGTGATGGCGTCTGGGGGGGTAGGTGGCCTGCTGCAGCTGTGGGCTGTGGCGACGCAAGGAGATGACCCCCTTGCCCCTCCCGCTCTCTCTCTCTCTCTCTCTCTCCCGGGCATAGGGGTCGGTCAAGACCCTTGGGCTTTATAGCCCACCCGCAATTATTTTGCGGGGAGAAGGGGCGTGAGGAACGAGCACAGGTTACCTTTCAGGCTAGAGCCATGAAATCTACGATAACGAACAAGGCAACTGTCTGCTCTCCATGAAACATGCCAGGAACATGAGCATGTGTCCCCCGATTCGGAACGGAAAAAGGCACAGTAGTCTAAGACAGAAAGGATATTTGGGGAATCACCATACATCATGTTTCTCAGCTGAGAAGATTTCCTCCTAATTAAGGATGCCTCAGTACTCAGGCGAGTGTTGAAAAAAGGGATGGTCTAAAGCACACAATGACGAGGTCACAATAGAGAAGGACAAGCATGCTGGTTTGTGTCGAGAAAGGCATCGCTATGACAAGGTTCAGGCCATCTTGTCAGCCACATGACTCTCTTATTCCAAGGGTATAAAAGCATCAAGACCCTACCAAAGGAAAATAGGATAGTGTGGAGAGAGTCAATTCGCTGAGGAAACACTCCTTCTGTATATCCATGCTCCTTCCCCCCGTCTTTCTGGAATATCAGGGGCACAACAGTAGTTAACACAACAAACCTAACAGTTAACACAAGAAGGGACGTCACCGTCTTTGGAGGAGGAGACTGTAGGATTGGGTCTTTCGCAAGATCACCAAGGCCGGGTGTAGGGTCAGAGCCAACGGGATCCCCCTAGAACACGACATACCCACATAGCTGCATAGGACAATGAGGCTCTCCCCCTGTACCCCCGCTCTGCAAAAGAATAACTGTCCAAATATTTTCAACAGAACACTACTCTTTGATCCGCTCCGCCTTCTTCTTAGTTTGCAAAGCAAGGACACAGCACTCCATGGATGAAATAAGGGACTACCATATGTGTTACAGCGTCTTCAGGGAGTCGGATCATCAGCTTTTTGGGAGGTGTCGTTTCCCCCCATCGAAAAGCTTTGTAGCAGCAGTATACCACGCTTTTGATCCATCCCCCTCCTCTTCTTGATGCGAAACAATGACACTCGCTCTCTCTCTCTCTCTCAATCTGTCTGCAGGTCTGGCGAAGGGGTTGCCCCCAGACCTTGCGATTCAGCGCGCTCCTTTTAGGAGTGGAGGGAACGGTGGCAAACAACCTAGGCCCACTGCCCCAGATTGTCGCTACATGGACTGTTTATACGAAACTTAAGTGATTGAACTGGCGGCATGAAGTCCGAGCAGAACACAACTTGAGCGCATGACGAAATGCGGATTCTCAGAGAGCCTCTTGGAAAGAGCCAGTGGAAATCGAGTGGCACAAGAGGACAACGCTGAAAAGCTTGTATTCAGAAACTAGGCCAGAAACAGAGATAGGTGTAGCACAGCGTGGGAGACATGTCCTCATGTTCTTGCGATTTTTCAGCTTTGCTAACAAATGTGAGTAGAACTGCTACTGAGCAAATACATTTTTGCTCATAATAACAACTGCCCCTGCACCGCGAAATCTGCCCAATCCGCCTGACGTGGGTTGTTCGTGTCCAAGACAGAAGCCAAGCGTCCGACGGCCTGGGTTTCGGGGACCAAACACAGTTCAGAATCTTACATCGTGTTTCGGATTTTCGTGCGTACATTGTTGTGTATGTACTCCACCTTGTAACCTACACATTTGTCATATGCTATACGTTATATATATATATATACATACATACATACATACACACATCACATGCCGAACACCAGCTGTTCTATATTAAATGAAGACCCTAGCCTTTATTAGGAATGCTTGCATGATTCCAGGATGTATGTATGTATGTATACATACATACATACATACATACATATTTACTGATTTACTCTACACAATATATTTTGGATCATATATTATACATTGTGTGCTGAACGCGTCATTCGTTTTATATTTATATAGTACTTTTCGCATTAACAAGACACATTCTGCATTCTGTTTTAAAAATGCAAACGATATAACATGTATTATGTATACATACACATACATACATACTCTCTCTCTCTCTCTATCTGTCTATCTATCTATCTATCTATCTGTCTATCTATCTATATACATATATATATATATGTATATCGCTCTTTCCTTCGTATTATATGATATATGATATATATATATATAAGTATATGCATATATGTATGCACATATATATATATATATATATATATATTTATTCTGCATATAACACATATTAAACGCAATCTGCAATGCATATTGTCACATCTCTCTCTATATCTATATATAATGTACTACTACTAGGTTTTTATTGCATATATGATTTCATCTGCATTACACATCACAGATTTTATATCACATGTGAAATGTTGTATTATGCCACATTATGCAATGGTATATTACAATGTATTATATTGCATATCTCGTGCATTTCTTTTTGTATATTATATATTACAAAATATAAAAAATAAAATGCATTTTTCGGTATATAGGTTGTTGTTCAAAAATATTGAGTGCATACCGTGTCCTGTATCATCTAATACGATATTATGCAACATTGTATTAGTTTGTCTTTCTGTATGAGTTGCTGCAGGTTCAAAACACCTCTCTGCACGTGCATGTATCTATGATAGATGTGCATATATGTATATGTATATGTATATGTATATGTGCGTATGTATGTACGTGCGCTTTATGTAGGTTAGTACGTATGAGGGCAGAGTATGTGTGTCTGTATGTACGCAAGTAAGACTGTACGGCTGGCTGGCTGGCTGACTGGCTGGATGGCCGGATGGCTGGCTGGATGGCTGCATGGATTCATGACATGCTTCGGTCGGTATTTCTGCTACACTAAGTCAAACTCAGATTCTTTACTCATCATGAAACTTCTGTAAGCAGAACCTGCGGAACCCAAGCCGAAACAATTACTGCCTGCTCTCCCAAGGAAGAAGTCCCAAGCACTCCTGAAACAAATTGGAATCCAGGGGGCTGCCAATGTGTCGGGGTGGCTGGGTCCAAGTTTCTGCTCGCGGCGTGAGACCACTTCACGCAGGTGTGCCTCGGCCTTCGGCTTGGACGACTTCATTTTGCGTCATGGAATGGCTTGTTCTGCTGAATGTGGCACTTCCGGCATGCAAGGTCACTCCCTGCCGCGGGTCTCGAAAGTGTACATACTTATAGCATGACTCTGCCGCTGCCTGGCGGACGCGCGTCTCGTCTCCCTGCTGCGCCAAGACGTGCGCCAGCTGACACCGAGCCTCGAGGGGACGACGGGCTTTCATCGGGTTGACTTCGCCATCCATTCCTCCTGTTGCTGTGAGCCTTGCTACCGGAACGCTGGAAGCTGTTCTTTGATACGAACTTGCTTGGGCAGCGTGACACCCGAATCTAAACTTTTGCGCTTCTCATGCGCCCGATCCTTGAGAGTGTGAGGGTCGTCCCGGCCAAAGGAGATGTGGTATTGGTCCACCAGGTTCTTCAGCATCTGCTCAGAATCGGTCAGACGTCCCTGGCGGCGGATGACCTTGAGGAGCTCAAGCGGTTTATTAATGCTATTTAGACCGCCATCGTAGGCTTCAGGGCTTTGTATAGTTCAAGCTCTCTCAGGCCGAAGAAGAGTAAGATTTTCTCATTATGATTACTATCTCTTTGTTGGTACTGTTATTGCTACTATTCAGACTCATGGGGTTACATGAATAGGTTCTGCAGAGGAAGGTCATGTTGCAAGAAAAGAGCTCAAACAAATCACGGCAAAAATCGCAACATGCTGAAGCCTGACCCAGAAAGATGTTAAGATTGCGGTAGAAACACACCAGCGCGACAACTGATGACCAATAACCAGAATACTCGTGGCCGTCACAATCGCAATAATGATGATATTTAACAAAAAACGGTTGTGGTAGTAGTTATAGTCATAAAAATAATGCTAAAAAATGATAACAGTAATGATCGTAATACTAATTATAGTCATAAAAGCACAGGTAGTAATGATATATACTGTGCCGTGGGTTAATTATACGCGGTCCCCTGGAATGCGCTTTGGCCGGAACATATTCAGGATTTGGCAATTCTTGGAGGTGTCTAATGCTCAACCTACGTAGAGAAAGAAGACGAGGCGGAGTAGCTATCTTGAAGTGATAGGAACTTGGCTTGGAGGTTTTTCGGGGCTAAACAGCCTTAGACCTGTCCTAAATCCACCACTGTCTACTACTGTACTGTACCGTAGCATGCGGCGTACAACCCCCGCACGTCCCCCCAGAGCCCGTATACCTCCCTATACAGTGCGGTGACGAACCACCCTGACCCCTCTCAAGAGTCGATCTTCCTCTTCCTCTGAAGCCCCACTACCCCCACACCCGCAAGGGGGAGACCNNCCCCCCCCCCCCCCCCCCCCAACGACAAAACCCAGTGCCACATTCAGTCACAATGCGAACAAGAAGAAAACTACCCATGGGTAGAGTAATTTGTAACAAACAAGCGGCATCTGCGAGGTTGGCCTTGGCTCGCAACGTATTGGAGTGCTGGGGCCCAAGGGTGCGCTCGCGCACCTCGAGCACCTGAATTGGAGTTTATAGTCTTATCGGTGAACCTGTACAGGGCTTAGGGTTTATGGGGCTTGTAGAGCAGGGCCTGGTTTTGAGCATTATAGGTTTCAGGAATTTGCAATGCGGCACCCGGAGCCCCAAACCAACCCGAGTAGAATTACGTTTCATCTCGGTACATGATGGTACATAGTTAGAATATGTTAGAATCGTAGTCGCACAGTACAGCTGTAATGCTTGCTGTCATCTATCTATCCATCCATCGCTCTAGCGATCTAGCTATGCACAGAAAAAGCTGTAGCGTCAGCACCTGCTTGTACATGGTCTCACTTTCCTCGAGGTTGCCCATCTTGGCCCGCAGTGCTGCGAGGTTGAACTTGGAAGACGTGACATCCCCGTGCTCGGCCCCGAATTTCGTCTCGAACTGCTTGCAGACCTCGATGTGCATCTTCCTGAGTTTTTGAGCAGCCATTCAACACAAGGTTGATTCGACAAACCTGGGTGGCTTTGACAGGCAATCCGGGTGACAAAAAGAGAGAAAAACGACTGAGCAGCTCAGTGTCTCGGCCTCCTGGAATTGCTGGCACTCCTCTAGGAGCACGGCGAAGTTGTTCTTTGCCTGCAGCGTGCACTGATGGTCCTCGCCCACATCTTTATTGAATTGCTCGATGCACTGGCGGTACATCTCCATGGCGGCCGTGGTGAAGCCCTTCTCGTGCAGCTTCACTGCCGCCTTGTGGGCTTCGGCCAGCCATTCATTCTGCCCCGATGTGAGCAGGGCCTTACCTGCCGCCTGCTGCGCAGGAAGGCAAATCCACTGGTTGTCGCAACTCACACGCTCCCAGAAGCGGGCCACAATGTTGTGAACATGCACCGCCAAGGAGGTGTCATTGCGATGTGCGCACCACACTTGCAGGAGCTGTTGTATGGCGCCCCGCTCCGTGAGTACATCCAAGCCTTTCTCTTGGCAGGCGATGCGCTCGGCGGCCGTAGCTGCGGAGCGGCAGACCTCGCGATCCCCTGAAAAAAGCTCCAACATGAGGGTCACTTCAGGTGCCTTGGTCCAATCACCGGCACCCACGGACTCAAGCATGGTAAGGGCGGTGATCCGAATCCGACTTTGGTCTGTCTTCTCCTTCTTCACCTCCTTGGGTTTCGGTGTGTCCTCTTTAGGCTTTGGCGCCCTTGGCTTCGGCTCCTCATGGTGGATCTCGCAGCAGTCTCCCATGTCTACCAAAGTTGACTTGCACCTGAGACGAACTGCTTGCGCCTTGAGCCGAGCAGCGAGAAGCGTTTTTCCTCCATTTCAAACGGATGACATAGCTGACATGACTATCGTGCGCCACGTCCTCCACCACCATGGGCGGCATGAGAGTGCTCGCGATGGCATCGATGCGCTGCCGCCTGGGTGGACATAAAGAACACCAGAAGCACGAGGGCTAAGTGGGAAGATCTTTGATACAACCCCCAAGCCCTAAACCCTAGAACAGGGATCCAGTCGGTCATGGACCCCCGCCAACCAAACCGCTCCCGCGAGTCGGACATCCCGCGGCAGATTTGTATTCTGGTAGGTAGTCCTGTAAGTGGTCGTTCAGCGAAACTTGGCGCATCGGATGGGTTCGTCCTGTCTTCAACTGTCGACTTGGAATGCGCTGCAGTTGGGCTGATGAATCTTAGGTTTGGGCCTCACACCAGCCGTTTTTGTCAAGGCAGGGCACACGCCAACAAAGCTGTGGAGGTGGAATCCAGCAGTCCAGCCTCTCTGTGCAATGGAATTAGCAAACTATTATGTCTCAAGCGCTGCGGCGTGGTGACGCAGTCTGAACTAGGAAAACAAATGCACGCGAACTCTTGTCAACCATGGTTGTCTTGTTCAACCGCCGCCCCAATGCGGAATAAACACCCTAAATCACCCTGTGGTATGTGATGAGGACTATGAATCTATGAGCTGAGAAAAAGACAACCCGATCTTCAAGTCCAAAATTTGGAAAGGATTGTTGAGGATCAAGCCGGGGACACCACGGACAGGACTTGCTAGTTCCCCTGTCCGACTGGTATTGATGTACACAAAGGTCACATTCCTCTGCGTCTCCGGATGCTGCTTTTAGATGTCTTTGCGACGATGTGTATTGGTAAATCTTAAATTAGCCGCTATCCGCTAATCGCATGATGCACCCGACGACGCAGAGAGCAGCATCTCATGGTAGATGAATTTTATGTTGAATCCGCGCATTGTGGGCCTGCTGCTTCAACTCTTGAACACCCTGGGCAACGTGTTGCTTGACATACCCGGGGTAATTGCACCATGCCAGTGATCCACCGATTCCTTGGACCATGTCAAAAAGTCCTGTGACAGTCGCTGCAAGGCGGGATGAACATGCCATAGGAACCAAAGTGGTTCTCCCACAGCCGCTGGCAGCACCAGACAAATATGTCGCCACCTGCCCCAGATCAGCGAGCAACGAAGCAATGTGCTCCGTGCAAATATAGCGCTGGTAGGTTGTCGGAAACTTTGGGCAATGGCCTGGCTCCGTTGCGAGAGCATTGAGCTCGTAGGCAGTCTTGACGATGTAGTCAATGGCCTGCCCGATATTGTTCAGGCAAGCTGCAAGGACTTGTGGCGCCCGATCGGGGTCAATCTCCTTGGAGTAGGGAATGTCACCGTTGGTGGGGTCTGCGCACTGCACAGCTATATCGCTCAGGGCAGAGGCGGACTTCGTTGCGCCAGATGTCAGCACGCTGATGCTCATGCTGCATCTCGCTGGATAGTTGGAGCCTTTAGGAATGTTGTTCGGCGCTGGGCAACTGGTGATTGTATCGGAAACGTACTGGCTCACAGCCAAAAAACTGGAGATGATACCGTTGATCTGAGCCGCGCAGGACATCTTCGCTTCCTGAACGCTTTGGCCCTTTACAGAAGACTGAGGCACGTTGAAAGCCAAGCGTCGAGTCTTGGGGACGAGGTCTCTGAGCCGGCGGTTGCCACTCCAGACCTTCTCCCACTTTGCATCTTCAGATTCGGGAGTGTGCAAGTTGCACACATGTATAGATGCCTCGAGGGAAAGCAGGGCAGACATCATCTTTAATGCTGCCAGCGTGACATCTGCGATACACATGCTGACACGAACGAATACATCCTTGCTGGTCTCCTGGGTGATGGTGATGGTGTTGTCCTGGTGGCTATAGGAGGTTTTGTACCCCAAGTTTCTGGCAATAAGCCTCGTTTCCTTCTGCTGCACGAAGAGCGGTCCGGTTGGAGGCAACGAGACAACGTCAATCTTGTGCCGCTGAAGTTCTTCTTCCGTAAGGTTGGAAAGGAGCCGTACCTTCTGGTACAAAACTACTTTCTTCAGAACTTCCGCTTGCTCCAGAAAGGAGACTTCATCGTCGGTATGAGTGCTCGACTGCGTCCCTGATCGGGTCCACGAGGCCAAGGCACCCCCCACCAGAAAAACAGCAAGCGCTGCTGCAATCATCCACCTGGGAGACTTGCGGATACACCACGACGGTCTCCATGCTGCCGGTGGAAGTGTTACTTCCTCTTCCATGAGCGAAGCCTGCTCGCCTAGGTTTGGCGAAGCGCCCGACGGTGCGGGCTGCAGCACGCCTCCGACCAAAGCTGCAAAAGGGAAAATGGGCAGCACAAGGCCACAAGGCCTCTCTTCTCTGAACCTTCGAGCCCATGAGATGCCGGTAGCAGAAGGGTTCAGACAACTGATCAGCTCAAGAGGCAGTATATGTCAGTATGCAACTTCCAAGGGGGAGATCTGCGAGGAGACGGGCCAGGACCAGGACCCTAAACTTAAACAGGTCCCGTAGGTGTCCCGCGTGAGTTGCACCGACCTGGCTGCCAGGAACCTCGCCCGGCTGTTCCTCCGAGAAGCTTCGGGAGCTTAAGTCGCAGAGCTCTCGGGCACCGGTTAGAGTGGGAGGCATCGTGATAAAGTCGCCTGTTGGATATTTATGACACACAAACACTCAATCACTAACGACATTGCCACGGCCGATCAACACCCATGGCCCATGGCTCTCAAGCTGATGGGACACGCTGGTAACCTGTATGTCGTGCTCGACAGCTATCCAATACCATCCGAAACTTAAACCTCTTCAAGTCCGCAACCCGGGACATGAATTCCCCACGTCAACCAGTCCTTTCGGCAGTCCACGCCATTGTCGAGTTCACCAGGCTGGTGAGGACCCTCAGGACGGGCTCGGATGCCAGGAGATGCATACTCCCTAACTTTGCAAGCGGTAGCCCCGACAACTGCCAATCCGCATGAGCACACACCGCAAGCACAATCGAAGAGCACTAAGCTCCTGGCAGCATCATTTTGGAGGACCCTGACAGATAGAGGTTGCAAACGTCACCTGACAGGTCATGCAGTTTCTGTGGAGTTTCGAACACCATCTCCAGTACCAGTGCTCGTTGCCGCACCGTTGTTCCGGACAATGACGAGGTTCAGTACTGTTCGGATATCTTCGCTGGTCACAACTTAACCTCTACCACTACGAAAAGAGGTCACTTCGGCGACACGGGCTACAGTAAACAGATATAAACAGATTGCGAGTGTTTCAGCATGTAGGCCAATGTAGGCTTGACAGGGTTCCCGGTCTTGGTGTGCACGGGCGAAATCGGGCAGGCCTTCGTCCAGAAGTCTAACTAGTTTCCACTGTTATGGGGCGGGCAAACACGCAGACGAACGAACGAACACACACACAGACAGAGACAGAGAGACAGAGAGACAGAGAGACAGACAGAGACAAACACAAAACACGGACGCAGAGACAAACACATCTGCACGCACCCTCCCAAAGCCATGGCCTCCAACAATCAGGAACCCTCGGAGACGGAGAAGCCAAAGAAGTCGCAGGTTTGCATATCCCTGCGATGCCTTCCTCGCCACAGTAGTGCTGCCAAAAAGTGACCTGGTCACCACCCACAAGCTTTACTGCACCCATTAACAGTTCTTGTAAAGGTTTGTGGTTGAGACATGCAGGGCTGCTGGCCCCAACTTCGGCTTGAGGGCATCATCCTTTCCACAATTCTACGCTTCCTGCAACTGAAGATGCGTCCAAGTCAGGTCTGCGATGCAGGCCATCGATCAAAGCAGAAATCCAGCCGGAACCCGGGGAGTGGGATCAGGTCATCTGGCACAGTGCATCTTACTTGCAGTCGCAGTGGGGTCCCTCCACAGAGGGGGACTCTCTTGAAGGCAGGTATCGCTTGGCTTGACAGCTTCAGCTCACGACGGGCCGGCAGTATTGTGAAGCCGCAGGAAGCCGAACAGAAACCCACTTGATACTTTTAAATGACCTGGCCCACCCGAACTTCAAGTTGATACGAGCTCGTGGAAGAGCAGCATCAAAACGACACAAGCTCCCCGCAATCACCAAGGGCACAAGCCAGAAAACCTCAGTGCTCATGGCTGGCGTTGGGCATGTCATCCACATCCACGGCCCGGGGCCCTATCTACTGACAGAAGTTTGCGAAACCCGTAGAGTAGAAGCCTACCGGCAAGACAAACGTTCACGGTAGACAATCGACACCCATCTTTAACACCGACTGTGGCACTGATCGGGTTCCGTTAGAAGCGTATAAACGGCACACATCAGCGCCGCAAGTACTGCTGCCAAGAGCTGTAAAAGGATAACAAGCTGCGAAAGCCTATGCCCGAATGAGTACCTCCGTCAGTGATCAATGCCATTGCGTCAGAGTGCTTCTGTCAAGAAGTCGCCTCCCTGAAAATGCCCTAGATGACCCGCGGCAATCCCAATCCTGCGGCCACGTGCCTCAACCCATGCCTAGAACTCAACTCCTACAGCTGAGCTTACTGAGTCTGATGTCGCACCTCCTCGCTGTTGCTGCAATATTGAGTACTGCCTGCCAGAACCCTTGTCATTTCCTGAGGACCGCCACATTCGTGTGGGCAAAGCGAAATTGGTGCTGCATGGCCACCTCCGAAACAGCAGCTGCTGGGCTTGCGGTTTTTGATCTCAAGGAATTGCAATTCATCGGGTCCATCACTCGTGGTTCTCTGAACCTTGAAACCGAGTCCCTAAAGGCCCTAAATGCTGTGTTTGCAAACAGGCATCAGCTTACACAGAAGCCCAGCGGCTTTGGCAACCAACGGAGCATGCCATGCTGCACTTGGAAGCAAGCTGAGATCCAAGCGAGGACGTAGACAGGAAACCTCGCAAGGGCAAGTGCCTATGCAAGTAAAGTCAGGCATCTCAGTAGGGAAGCATGTCTCAAGGTCCGGACGAAGGAGGCGCTAAGAGGGCATCTACGTCTTGGAGCTGTGGCAGTGAGCGTGGCTTGAAAATCAACCCTCTGGAGGCTTAGCATACAGCACAACAAAAAGGATTCAGGCAAGTAATACGCGACTGTAAGCTTTAGGGTTCCAGAGTGTTCCCACCGGTATTCTCCTAGCAGGAGCAAACGCCAAGATTATTCCTTGGGGTTCCTTACGATAGTCATGCCGCACAAGCCCTGTTCTAATTTTTCTACATGGTTGGTCTACTCTGTTGCCTTTAATTTATAGACCCCCTGCAGGAACCCCTATTCTAAATATAAGGCCACTGTATTCCTTTACTTCCGATGAGCCAAGCCGCATGATGAGCGAGAAGACGCTGGAGCCCCTCCTGGACACGATCTCGCAAAGCGGTGCCGGTCCCCACACCCTCAAGAGAACACCAATAGATATATGGGACATTATGGGACTGAATGATTTGACTAGTGCCGAAGGCTTCGGCATATGAACTAGATCATAATGTAGGAACTTTGGGGAGACAATGTTACAAATACGTATCCGGCCCATATGCTAAACCCTAAATGGTTCTCGCCTTCCCTTGATGCCACGCCTGTGTCGCATCATGAATCTGGTCAGATGCTCCTCGGTGTAGGGTTCCTGCACCTGGTTGGCGAAAAGATGTCTGGCTTTTTTGATAGGGGATCCAGAAATCCGAAGAAGGCGACTCCCCATCTGATGCGAGGTGCCTGCATGACTAGGGTACCGTTTGCGACCATGTTGCCAACGGCATACATATGCATACCAGAGACAACAATACATAACACATACAACTGTAGAGCACATAGGCTTGCACTGTAGGATAGCAAACAAGTGTACTAAACCGTAAACCTTCCACCGTTGCAACCTTGGCTTCAGCAGTGCGCTCGGGATGTGGCCGCCGGAAACCATGAAATGGCATCGTAGGAGATGATCGTCAGTACCTCTGTACCGTCTTGCTGTGACTGATGATGCCAGGGATTGCGATGACGATAATGCTCGTGCAGGTGATGAAGATGCTTGTGTGGTGAATGATGGTGATGGTGACAGGGATCCTGAGAAATTGTGGTGGTGGCTTTGATTGTGGTGGTCATGCTGACTTTTTGCGATCGTTGCAGTTCGGCTGCAGCTGCACTGATCTTCTTGTTCGATTTAAGTCGGTCGGGCTGCAACGCGCAAGGCAGGTCGCAGTCAAGGTCTGCAAACAGAAGTCTCATGAACCTGCTGGTGTGCAGGCATACACTGGCACAGACACAATTGCACTGCAGGTCACCTGAAGAGATAACCTACAAATCCACAAAACTTTGTCTACGGAGTCAAGGGATTTCGAGCTCTGTGCCCCGCCAGCTGCCCAACTCGAAACTGCTTCGTGCGTGCCGTGCTCACAAAGCATTCTCCCGGTTCGACTGCATCAGCGACTTGCACTTTGGATTCTTGATGTCCGTGAATCTCCTTGCTCAGTTTGATCGAACTCTGAAGCCACGGATGGTCGGCGTGTAGACCTCTTGGACGGCAAGGACGCATCTTGAAGTTGCTGCGGAAATGGAAGCGGTCTTTGCAAAGCCTTGAGTATCCTCCTGTCGTCCAAGCCCGGCAGTCTTCGGAGTCAGCTTGGACTGGTAGCTTCAGTCTCTTCTGGATGCCTATTCCAGCAGATGTCCATCTCCACCTGGTACAAACTCCAGGAACTTGGCCGCTAACGCGACGTGATGGTTCATCTCGATGATTTCCTGCAACGTCTTTGACGACGGCATTTGCAGGCTACAAAAATGTCCAGTGGGCTCATGATACACACTGTGAACACAGTTCCGCCGGGCTGCATATCCAGCCGAACCACAGGATCTTCGAGGGCGAAAGAACTTATTTAATACATCCCGTTCAAGAAATCCTGCATGCTTCATTCCCCCAGGCTCTAGTAGATTATCGCAACGATCGTCCGGCAGCAACCCCCCTACTCGCCGGGAACGCTTCTGCACTCAAAACCCTCCATCTTTACTGCAGAACTGCCTCGATGAGCAACCATCCACGACTCCCAAAGCCTAAACGTAGTCTCAAATGCTGCAGCAGGCCACGCGCCTTGCCATGCGTGTGGCACAAAGCAGCCAGCAGGCGTCTAGCATGATGGTGATCTGCCTGAGTTGCAGTGTGCAGCGATAGCCATTGAGGGGCTTCCAATGTTGGCTTCAGAGTCAACATTTCATGTGGCTTTCTTAACTTTTGGGCTGCCTTCTGGTACCCGTCAAGCCAGCCAACATGCAAAGGCTGACAGTTTGGCTCCGCGGCAGCATGCTCGAATGCCAAGATGTTCTGCATAAAATGTTGCACTACAGCTCTGAATGTTGCCGAAATTTTCGAAAAGCTGACGCACCCTCACCGAAGACAATGCCCATCTCGTACAAATTAAAAGCAATGCCCATCTTTCCTGAGAATTGCATGGCTATGCTACCACTCGGAGTATGGAGCCAGTGACCGCGATCTCTGCGAGATGTCTGGTTGCCTGGATCAAGCCATAGAGTGGCTTGTGTAATAGGAGCAGATTCCCTTTCTTTACACGCATAGATGTGCATCTGCTTGTGCAGGTAGGCATAAATCTTGGGAATATGCTACACCCGGAAGGATGTACCGTGAATGTAGACCGCCAAAGACAAAAGCACAAGATGCAGCCCAGGTGGTGTGCATGTGGATTCGTCGTGGGTTGATAGCGCAATGGCAGGGACTGGATGGGGAGACAGCATCAGCGCTTGTTGACATCAGATGCTTATGATTTCGGCAGCGGTCCGTATGTCCGTCATGAGCTGCAACGAGACATGATACATATACATCTGTACCCTGTATCTATAAGTATATATAAATAAAAGAAACATATATGTATATATATATATGCATATGTGTGTACCGTCAACACCGAGAAAAGTAAAATATCTAATGAATCTAATTACTACGTTACTACGCCGCTTCTGCGAGCTTATGCGAAACTTGTCCTGTCTACCTCCAGAGTCGTAAACCGCGATCGTGTTCCTGAAGATTGCGAACTTTGGCAGTCAACTCTTGCCATTTGGAGTTTCTTGGTAGGGCTTATGGTGTTATCCACAAGCAAACACAGACTAAGCTGTGGTTGCGATTTCTGAGGAGCCTGGGCGAGTATCCTTCGTTGGAGCATCTCATTCTTGACATCCGCGCGCACGAAAGCGATAGCCTGGGATTTGCAGCTTGGAGTGCCGTGGCAAAGCTGGGTTCTTGGGTTTGGGTTTGGGATTTAGGGTTTAGGGTTGCATTTGTTGGGAATCGGGCTTGACGATGGACACTTTCCAGCCCGTTTTGAAAGCTTAGCCGACCAGATTCGCAAGAGCCACTGCGACAAATGCAGTTTGGTTTCTGCACTCCGCAATGGAGGCCACGAGAAAGCCGAACTAGCAAGCAATGGAAGCAAAAGGATCGCAGGTCCAAGGCCGTGACCAAGTCTGCCAGGTTGGCAACTTCGCACTGTCCTTGGCAACCATGGATTTGAATCCACGATACGCGTTCTGGACACAACGCTGAGAGGCAGGTCGGGGGCCGCAGCATGCAGATAGGGGGGTTTGTGGGGCAAGTGAACAATCCCAAACAACATCAACGCGCTGGCTCTCAATTGCCTCCAAGCAAAGCCATAGCTCCAAAGGAGGGCACTGAACC